TACAGCCCAGCTCAAAAATGTCCTCAAAAAAGTGTCGTGTGTTTGGAAAGTGGCTAAGGGCTGCAGGAGCAGGCCTGGGGCCATCAGCAAATTGGTGTGCTTATAACTATAAGCAGAGTCAGGGCATGGTAGAAAAATATAAATAGATATTTATTTATTTATTTATTTATTATATTAATCTCTAAATTTCTGTCCTTTAGACAATGTCTGTGTTACAGCCCAGCTCAAAAATGTCCTCAAAAAAGTGTCGTGTGTTTGGAAAGTGGCTAAGGGCTGCAGGAGCAGGCCTGGGGCCATCAGCAAATTGGCCCACTGATGAGCTTACAGCTGACTCTGCCCTCTGAGGGGGGGCAAAGCCAGATGGGGCAGGTCACTGAGGGGGTTCCCTGAAGGGTACATTCTTGTCCCCCAGGCCCCCCATTCCCAACTGCCCCGGGGTGAGCAGATTTCTCCACCAAGCCCTCTGCCATGAACTTCTGCTGCCCCTGTGCCAAGTTTGTGGAGGGCAGAAGCCTGTCCTCGCTTACACTGGTGGTGGTGTTGGGTGTTTCTCCCAGGGCTCAAAGAGGGATTACGATATCCGGGCATGAGCCTATGGCCGGGATCTACTGGACAACAGCTGAAGGGATGAATGAGCAAGACTTAGAAATGGCTGCAAATTTGCAGACAAGCTGACCATCATTACATGAAATTCGTTTTCCATTTCCATTCTTGAAACATTATGTTTTGAAAAATTACTTGGCAGTAGCAGCAAGCACTTACAGACATCATAGAAATACTATATATATATATGCTATTCACATTCCATACTAGAGAGGACAACACTCAGGAACACTAAACTTATGCAACTTCTCAAATTTGGAATGTTTGTAAAGGGGCTGGGGAGGTGGCTCAGTGGAATAAGCGCTTCCCTGGCAAGCACAAGGGCCTGAGTTCAATACCCGGTTCTGCTAAAAAAAATAAAAAAAATAAAAAAAATAAAGTAAAAAGTGAGATTGGATTTAAAACTCTGGCACCAGAGTCTTCAGAGACTCTGGCTAACTTGGCTAAATTGCGGTGAAACTTCCAGAGCTGCAGGCATATCCTGTGCCCTGCTCCCTATATTTTCTGAATTGACTTCCAGGGCAGAAAGCCGGTTACGTTCTAGAAGCTGAGCGTAAGCAATAGCACATCTTGTTTTTCCTCTCTAAAAAAGATCAAATTGGAACTTCAGGAAACATGAATTGTATTTGACACCTACAGAACCTATACAAAAATACTTTATTTTAAAACTTCTGTTATTTTTCTGTGTGTGTTCTGCATTCTAAATTGTCTGCAGTAGAAAATGATGCATAAAGAAGAATACTCACCTTCAGGAGTGGGTGCTGCAGGAGCGGGCGAGGGAGCCTGCAGCGCCGGTGCGGGAGGGGGTGTGGCTGGGCTTTGTCCTGTGAGGGTGATGCAAGGGTAGATTAAAAGACTGAACATCCACAGCTCGCACTGTCCCTTGCATGCGTGACTCCTAATCCCGAGCAAACACTATTATTATGCTATAAGACAAATGGCCTGAGTGGGGATCTTTCGGGTGGCATTGGCGCAGATTCAGTTGTCTTCAGAGCTGTTTCTGAAATACGTTATTTTCCATAGATGTGCATTTTGTCAAACAGCTCTCCTGGATTTATTAACAGCAAATATGCATGTGATCAGATAAAAAAATTAATTTCAATGTTTACTTTTAATTATGGAAGCTAGAATCACAGAAGCTGAGAGGAACCCTAATCTAGTGAAAAATCACCATCTTCTTCAATTCACAAAAAAAATCCTCACCTAATATAGTAAGGCAGTAAAAGAAAATTGAAATTCATAGTCCTTTTGATCGCTAACAGGTACATTTTTTTTCCTGTCAAAATAAATGACCTGTAGTTAGGTAAATAATGAACCAACAGGAAAATAGATTCAGTTTTATAGAAGCTTGAAAGTTTCTCTCCAATCTCTGGGCTTATTATCAAGTGTAGAAAAAAAAAGAGAGAGAGAGAAAAAAGCCTACAAATATTTCTGAGCACTTCTTATCCCACGTGACACCTTTAATTAGCCAATACCATTCGGGATATGCGCTGTACGCATCAACCACTACGCGATCTTGGATGAAACCCTTGCAAAATGTTTCATCGTTAATTTTCATTCTTAACTCCTGCAGACTGTTTTTTTTTTTTTTTTTTTTTTTTTTCTTCTAAATCTGGGAACCAACGTGGGCATGTGTTCCTTCTAAAATCTCCTGACAACTAGATATTATCAAATGTCAGCAGACCTGCCCACTTATTGGAAATTTGCCTTATTTAGAATTCTTGAGAAATTCTTCAAAATTGGTTCTCCGAGCCAAATTATGGTTTAGCAAGCGGAGCGATCAGAGTCACGCACACCACTTCCCCGGCCGAGCCTGCGCGTCAAATGACACTTAGGCTCTGCTGCGGCAGAATTTGCTTGTAGCTTCTGTCCCCACAGAGAGTCCCAAGCGCACTCAGGCATGCATCAAGCGAAGCGGAGTGCTACGTATCACACAGGCCATGGAGGAAAACACTAATTCATATCGTGAGTACTGTTCCTCATGGGAACAGAGCCTTAGACGTGGCAGGAGCATCGCGGACGACGTCTTTGTCTCCTGAGCCCGGCAAAGGGAGGAAGGCTGGGATGCGAGGAATCCTGGTACGCCCTACTGCACCCGGGCCCGCGCTCACTCCCCTCCTGCTGGCCCTGGCTGACCGAGGACGTCTTCCGTGGGGATCCGTGGGCATCTGAGGCTGGGGCAGAGGGCACAGAGCAGGGCGGCTTCATTCCCAAGTGTCCGCCTTCTTTGTGGCCAAAAAGATCCGTCCTTGGCGGGACCTGTTACTCTGCCTTGTCAAGAGTTGTTCCCAAGGCAGACTAGAGCTGGGAAAGTGACAGGGAGGAGGGGCCCGGGTCAGGAGCGGGTGAAGGATCCAAGGTGATCCGGGCATGTTATGCACACCCACTAAGTCCCCAAGTGAGCAGAAAGCTTGAGTTCTGCAGTGCGAGCGCTTCACAGCTAACGCAGCCTAGAGAGCCTCTACCTTTAAGAAAGAACAAATCAGACGCCCTCTAAGTACAGGAGGTCATGAACGCAAGTCGCTTGTTTCTAAACACTAAGGCTTTCTAAAAAGTCTTCAGATGTATTGGTGCCTGTTAAGTGTGAGCTCGTTTCTACCGTTTCACACACTTTTTAAATTAGATGCCTAACCATAATCTCCTATACCCTTGATGAGCTCTTCTGAAATGCACTGAAAAATATAGAGGAGATCCTAGGGAATTAAAGATTTTCGCTGTGAAATGTTTTAAAATTTACTTGAAGGGATTATAAAGTCATCATTTTATTATAAGCAGAGCTTTACTCAGCACTGACATATCAGCCCTGAAGACCCAGGAAACCATTAATGCATTCTGGGAAATTTGCTACAACATAAAAATGATGTTGTTGCTTTAAAAAACTTGCCTGTTTTCCGACTAAATTCAAACCTTTCCACTTTAACTTTTGTCATAGATTTACAAATGTCTCAAAAAAATTGGAAAGACCAAATTATAATAAGAATTTGGAATGATTTCATATCCTCTATTTTCAACCCAACTTTGCTTTCAGGAAGGTTCCTGTGTACTGACTGAAAGAGACATATAGACAGATCCTCATACCGCAGTGTGCTAAGAGGAATAACATGCACGGCGGATGCTGGAGGGATTCCGGAAGGAGCTGAACTGTCCAGTGGAGCAGCTCATCTCGGCTTTGCCTGTAATCCCAGCAGTCCGGAAGGCTGAGGCAAGAGGATTGCCAGTGGGAGCTCCACATGGATTTTGGGTTAGCAATTTAAAGAAATCTGGTACCAAAATTTAACAAACAAGGGGGAATGAGGATGTAGCTTTGTGCAAAGGCCCTGAGTTCAACCCGCAGTACTATAAACAAACGAAAAAAAGAAAGCCAAAAGAAGTTTCACAATAAAGAAGGGTGGGACAGGGAGAAGGATTCCCAGAGGAGAGGCTCGGGCGAGCCAAAGGCCGGGCGCCAGAATGGACAGAACTACACAAACCGGAGCTGCGACAGCATAAAGTCAACAGAGTGTCCCATCGTGTCAGAATTCCAAACAGTGATAGCCAGTGTTATTCTGGTCCTCAGAATGAGAGGGAGGACCATGAGGTGCACCGAGGGGAAGCCAGGTGGCTTCCTGCCCCCCAGTGACAGGGAGAGACAGCGCTGTGGGGGATCGGTCACAGAGGACAAGCTTTTGCTGTATTAGACGGCACCAAAGCAAGTCCAGCAGGCCGTGCCGAAAGATGGTGTGGTGCATCAGGGCGGACCTACAGAAGGTCTGCTTTCAATTTCAGATAACATCAGATAGTCCCCACTTTGCTGTGTGGACAAAGATAGTACAACTTGGGTACAACACCACTGAATGAATTATGCTATAGAGAATTCTTCCACATCAATCTTCTTATGAAAGCAAGGTTAATCAGCACAGAGGCAGAGGTCACAGGACTTGGAGGGACAGATGGGCATGACTTTCGGTTCCTTCACTTCCAGGTTCCTTTGTTTAAACTTGGAAAATCTCATGAAGCCCCCAAGCTTCAGTCAGGGCCTTCACAGGGCGAGGAGACTTTGTAAGCCATGCCATGAGGCTTAGTAATAAGGCTCCTGAAGCACAGTAGATACTCAAAATATTAATTATTTTCCTGAAATATGTTTATAATTCAAATCTCACCTAAGTGCAAAAGAGGATTTGAAACTGTCTTTTGAAGTAAGAAAACAAAAGCAAAGATAAAATTGAACATGGCAGAATTCATTTACTCACAAAGAGGCTTATAATTTTATTAAGAACATATTCTTTTGGAATTCCTGAGAATTGCTTCTTTCCGAAGGCAAGGTTTAGGTTGCTGAAATTTACATTACCACTCTAAAGTTGCCCTTCACTTTACAAGCTATTGCTGAAAATCCCGTGACACTCAGAGGTAGTAAGTTGGGTTTAATGTTGTTTCTGGAGTGATTTTGGTTAGCTTATTTCCATAATACTTGAATGGCATGTTTGTAAGCTGCCGGTATTTTATTATTCTGTGTTTTCTCACAGAAGTCAATTTGGTTGTGTTTGGTTTATTCAAATTCTCTAGGGGATAGCAGACAGCATGCCTTCATTCTAACAATCGAAGCGACTGACATTTTCTTTGCTAAAATGGTGAAGAAAATAATTCAGGCTCAAGTTAAATAGGATGATCTGAGCTGAATTCAGATTGTACAAAACAAAAGAAGTGACCACATAAGACTTGGCCTCTGCAGTTCCTTTAGGACATCCATCCTGGACTGAAAGCCATTTCTAGCCCACTTCAGCCTTCCCCGCCTGTCTTTGGCAAATGTGGAGGGTATTGTTTCTCATATCGGATCGGGATGCTACTTCATAGTTTCTGTTGCTTCTGCCTGGTGTCAGGGGGAGTTGTACCCCATGACTCCCGTACCTTGGGGAACCAACCATCCCACAGGCAGTGAGTGGCCTGGGATGAGGAAGGTGTGTGAGCTCTACCAAGTGACTATGGGGTCAAAATGCACTTCTGCCTTTAAAAACCCCATGGCATGAAATCCTTTCAAATCTTATCCTACTTTGTTCTCCCAAGTTCATAGAAGGTGAATCTATGTCTTGGTCACTTTTTTCTCATTGCTGGGACAAAATATGCAAAATATCCAAAATGAAGGAAGGAAAGGTTTGTTTAACTCATAGTCAGTGGAGCTTTCAGTCCACACTCAGCTGGCTCCAAGGCAGCATGACACATGACAGAGGGCAGCAGTTCATGGTGGCAGAAAACAGCAAAGAGCAAAGGGAGGAGTGGCAGCTGTGGCAGCTAGCCAGCCTCTCTCCCCTCCTTACATTTATATGCAGATTTTCTGCCCCAAGGCGGGTGTAGCCCTCACACCCATAATCCCAGCCTTGGATCATAAATTAATCACAAACTCTAGAATCTACCCCATGACTGCGTGAGGCTTTGGGGGGACAACTAGACACAAACCATAACAGTCTATAACTGAATAAAGTGGAAAGATATGAATTTAGCAAGAAAACACAGTCAAGTTTATTGAGGCAATATTACTTATACCTAGGGAATATTGTTAATTGAAAAATAATTGTCTGGATTAAGATTTTTAAAGTTCAGAATTTCAAAATCCTAAAATTAAATGAACTCATGACTTGTAAGCAAATGAAAATGGTTTGTACTTAATGATGCAAGGGTCCCATGCCATTAGCTGTTCCTCAGATTTTCGGTTTTCTCACTGATTATCTCCATCTCCTGGCCAGTCCCCTTATGACACTTAGCCTTGAGAAGAAGACTATAGTGTAGGGTGCCAGGCACTCCCCTCGACCACCTTATTCATTTAAAATACACTGAAATTCAACCCATAGAA